CGAGCGGCGCCTGTGCCACTGGTGGCTTCACAGGGTGCCACCCACTGCCCACCAGGTCAGCACATCACAAAAGAAAAGGGTTGGAAAATGAAAGCGAAGACCACATCTGTCGTCTTCACTGTTGCTACAGCTCCGAACTGCTCTCATAATGAATATCTGACACCCAAGCCCAAGGGCCTAATGAGGAGAGAGGCCCTGTCCCACCACAGTGAGGCTGACTCTGCTCCTGCTAGAAGGCAGACGAGCGTCACTTGGTGGGGCCAGACGTGCCGTACGCCGAGTGCCAGTAGGGCCCACGGGTGTCCTGTTGTTCCCGAATGACCAGGCTGCTGTGGAGGCCTAGTGTGCCCAGAGCCACAAGTGTTCCCTGCAGGTGGACAGGCAGATCCCTTCCCTCCCTGAAGCACTGGAGGCAAGCAAGATAGAGCCTTGGATAAGAACTGCTGCGGCGCCTGTGGGCAAGTTGAGGAGACACCCCAAGGGCTGTCCATGTCCCAGCTAGATCCCAGCAGACAACACAACATGGGGCAGTTAAAGCAGATGACCGAGAACTACAAGGGCCATCTGGACAGCACCACATGTCAGGGTCACAGACGGAAAGCCTAGCACTCCCTGGACAGGAGGAAATGTCGATGGCCTTCTGGGCCTACAAACCCAGCTTGCTGTACACTGAGCAAGGGATAGTAACCAGCATTTGGAGCACACGTTGAAACACTGACTTCTACAGCATGGACACCTTGTACTTTTTTAACCAATAACAAGGCCACTGAGAAGCCATGTGGCTTTGTGTTGAACAAGCCAAGGCAAGGGGGCTTTTCTTCTTGCCCGCCCCCCCAGGGAGGGCGAGCAGCACAAGTCTCCTCAGCACCTCTCCTCCTCACCCATGGGTGTTCTAAGGGTAAGTGGTCACCAGTTAGACTCTCATTAGAGGCATTTTTTACAGGTGGGTTTGCATGTGTATATTTGCACCCTAAATTACAGATGGGAAGGAAGTATTGGAAGAGGCACCTGAGCCCTGTGTGACCTCCTTGCTCTGTGCTCTGCCCACCTGTGAGGCTCGTGGGTCCCTCTGCTGGTGCCCAGTGCTGTGGGTACTGGGCCAGCCCCTCCCAGCTGCAGTGCAGCCTGAGCACAGCGTTCCCGTAGGAGCAGACAGCAGCCCGGGACCTGCTCACTGTGGCTGTCTTTTTTGAAAATAAGGTTTCTATTCACTCAAATCAAAGGCAATCTCACACATAGGTCCTTTTAAATGTATACATTTGTAAAGCTGTTGAAATAATCAAATGTGTATTGATAATATTTACTTAATGTATTCAATCAAACATTCATATTTAGAATCCCATAAAATCATGAGTTTCTGCCACTTCTTACATGCAGCAATCTTATATGCACAGATTTTTTCAGCATATGCTGGATGTACGTCTCTGTTCCTAGAGCCACTTTCTTTTGACTCGGTGGGCTACAAGCTCTGATTGCCTGCTAGCAAGCTGGCCCGCAATGCCGAGTCCCCGGGCCCATGCTGGTGCGGAGTGTCTGTCTTCCTGGCCTCTTGGACTCCCCTGTTTTAGCACTGGGGCTCTGAGAACCCCTTCCCCGCTGTGTCAGTGTCACGCGGTGACCCTTGCCGCATTGCTGGGTCAGTTGCCCTTCAAAGCTGCTTAAGTAGCGCACCTTTCCTTTCTGTTACCAACTCAACCAGGCCCGGGTCGGCCCGCGCACTGGGGCTGTTTTCTTCTATGAAAAGAAAATTTCTAGGGCTGGGGAGATGGCTCAGTAGAATAAGCGCTTCTCTGGCAAGCGCAAGGACCTAAGTTCAATCCCCCGTTCCACAAAAAAAGAAAAAATTTCTATTTCCCCAAGTAAAAGGCAACCTGAAAATCAGACCATCTTAATTAAAGCTAGAGATGAAACGGTCAAATGCACAGTCCTAGTATTTCCTTTTACATTTAAACACTTCACACTGTGAAGTGCTGCAGGCTGTACCCAGCAGTTCCCCCCTGTCACCCCTGTCCAAGGTGGCACCCAGGCCGTGCTCTCACAAACCTCTAAGCTTGGTCCTGTCAAACTATGTGGTCTTGTGGCCTCCACAGCATAGACCTGCTGGGGTGCTGGCCTGGTCCCTGTGCACCCCCATGTTTTGCCCTCAACCCAAGAGCAGCCTCTTCCTCTCCACCTCATGCATGCTCTTTTTGTCCTACCAGTATTAAATATTCTAGTGACATCAAACTCCATATTGAGTTGTGCCTTTCTCATATGTGGTTAGAATATACTAGTCTCAGCTGGCATCGTTGTGGCCTCCTGTCCTTCACTACCCCCACATCTGAGAAGCGTACACTGCACTGTGGAAGGATATTTTGGTCAGGGTGAGGCTTCCAGTGGTTCACTTGCTGTCACTACTCCCAACAGTTTCAGATCTGGGGAGCATTTTTAATTCCACATGTACAAATTAGGATTACTCATCCTCCACAGATCTACGCAAGTCCTACAGATGCCTCAGGACCCAATCATGGTGCCCCCCATGGGGACACCATTTGGGGCTGTGGGATTGCTGGATTTGTGGCGCCCAAGGTATCCAGCTGGTTCAGAGTTCATTTCTACCACCCTCTCACCACTGTAGTGAATGTTGTTTATAGTTGTTCCGTTTTGTTTTTTAATTGTGATAAAATATAGAGTTGGCCCGAAATATGTATACACCCTTGAGGAAAAGAAAACCAATGAATGTCAGGAAGCTAGCGGCCACTGCTTTGAGTACCTCTTGTAATTGCAGCGGCCAAAAGCAGCTTGTATTAATCTCTCGATGTCTCAGTAAACCTAGTATTAAAATATTTATGCAAGATTTCCCTTTCCTGAGGTGCGCGTACGTTTCGTGGGCAGCTCTGTGCCAGACGACGTTGTAGCATTTTAAGCGTTTCTAGGCGCGCATTTCCGGGTCGTCCATCACCCGCGCTGCTGCGGGGCCGTCAGCGCTGGCATCTGGAGGATGGTCCCACCTTTCCACCCCAGAACACTGCCAGCCGAGCAGTAACCTCTCTCCCCCGGCCCTGGCACCAAACGCAGCTGTTTTCTGTCGAAGAACTGACTCGGGGGGGGGGGGGGCACTCGGAACCGACTGCTCTGCTCATCTAGCTTGTCCACCTAGCACAGTCAGTACTGTCGAGGCTCACCCCCAAGGGACGCATCAGCGCTCCCCCTTTCGGGGCTGAGTGGTATTCCCTGGTTGTACAGGTCAGGAAGAAAATCCTTTCCTGGACCCTTTTGGTTCCTACCTGGAAGAGTACAAATTTAACTCGCAGAGAAAGAGAAAAGGTTTCTAGGGTAAGACCAGCCAGGTAGCTTCAAGAACTGCAGATGGGCTATCAGGAGAGAAGCAGGAGGTAGAGACGGACGCTGCACCTGTCCGGGGGTCCCAGGAGCTGCTGCTGCTGCTGGGAATCATAAGCGAGGCCCCAGGAAGGCCTCTGGGCAGCGCACCCCTCCCGCCAGTGCTGGCCCTGCAGCCCCCTGAGCTGCACCTTCTCTGCTAGGTGGGGGGACGTTTGGGTCGTTTCCACCCTCGCTGTTCACGAGCAATGCGGCTGTGTGCACCGGTGGTGTGTGCTCCAGCCGGTCCTGTGGGGTTGGGATCCCGAGGCAGCAGGCGAGGAGCGAGGGAGCAGAGTCTCATCGGCCTGTTTGGGGTGGCGTGGGACACGGAGGTCAGCGCGCTGTGGCGCCACACGCCGAAGCTTACTGCGCGGCATCTGCAGCCCGCCGAATGCCAAGTCCGTGGCCTTGCTTTGTTTTTGAGACAGTGTCACTGCTGGCCGTGAGCTCGGGGCTGTCCTCCCACCTCAGCCTCCCGAGGGCCGAGATCCCAGGCTGCGAGTGCGGCGCGCACACCACGGCGGGCTCTGCCCCGGGTCCTGTCCAGGGCGCGCCTCCGCGGAGGCTGAGCAGGATCGCCTCCCGGAGTCCACCTTCGGCCACAGCAGCCGTCCGTGGGGCCTGCGGAGCGCCTGGTGGTAGTTCTGAAAAGGAGGATTTACATTCACACTACAAGGCTCAGGTTTTCGGTTTTCCCTCATCCTTGCTCAGGCGAGCCTGCGCGCATACGTGCGTGTATACGTACGTGCCTACCTCTGCGTGCGTGTGTACGTGCCCCTGCGTGCGTGCGTGTGTTCGTACGTGCCTCTGTGCGTTCATGCGTGTGTACGTACGTGCCTCCGTGCGTGCTTCTGCATGCACACGTGTATACATACGCTTCTCTGTACGTGCGTGCGTGTATACGTACGTGCCTCCATGCATGCGTGTGTGCATGCGTGCGTGCGTGCGGGGGTGCAAAGACCGAGATCGCCGTGCTTGCGAGTTGCGGTTCCCACAAGACCGGCGGTGTCGAGCCGGATCTTTCCGGGCGTTCTCTGATTGTCTACGTGCTTGGGAGAAATGTCGGGCCGCCTCTTGTTTGGGTTTGTTTGTTTTCTGAGACAGGGACTCGCTGCAGTGCAGTCTGCACTTGCGCTCACTGTGTAGCTCGGGCTGGTGATCTCCTGCCTCAGCCTCCGAGTGCTGGGACTACAGACGTGCACCGCCACGCCCAGATTTTGTCCGTTGTTTTAAAGATCTGTCGTCAGCCCCATCCCTGAATTTTTTGCCTGAAAATGAGTGTGTTCCTTTTTTAAATTGTTAGAAAAAAAGTTTCTCCAAATACCTCGCTTCTCAAATCCACTGTATTGGAATCCTGACTCGTTCACCAGTTACTGGTAGCATAGTTGCCACTAACTCCGAAAGTCCAGTGGGCCGAAGATGTGTGAGGTTTCTTCTCAGAGCTCGATGCCCACCATCTCGCTCTTTCTCCCGAGTTCCTGCACTTTATCCTGAACAACTAACTAGTTAAATATTCCTCTTGCCGCTCAGTGTTTGGGCTGAAATCTGTTTCTTGGGCCTCCTAGGCATCTGGTATGATGTGGCCTTACCTATAATCGCAACGTGTTTGGGTGCACCAGTTGACAGGAGAACCTCTACCATGGAAGTCTGACCATTTTAATTTGACAAAAAAGTGAACTTTGTAATAAGACTTCTTTAAAACCAAACATTTCCAATAATAAACAATAGCATTATTTACTCTAAATGAATTAAAATATCGTGTATGATGGGTGTAAAATTGAATATGTGCTCAAGTTTTTTTAAAAATACGACAATTATGCAGTTGCCTAACAAGATACCATAGTGCAAGCTTATTTCTCCGGGGTCTGGAGGCTGGAGTGGAGATGAGGTGCCGGTGGGCCAGGCACTTGGGAGGACCGGGCTCCCCTCCACAGGTCCACCGCTCCGTCCACAGGACGCCCACTGGCTGCCCTCTCAGCAGCCCCCCACCCAGAGCCTAGCTGTACCCTGAGGCGCTGACCCCGACCTACCGCCTCCCGGCGCACCCTGGGAACCCAGGACAGAAAGCCCCTTCTCGCCAGTGGGCCAGCAGCAGGAGAGCGCCGCATCCTTCACAAGTGCCTGGCCAAGTGCTTGGGCGACAGAGATGAGCCCTGAGGCTCCACTGAGGAGGCGGCGCCAGGCAGACGCTGGCGCAGGCTGCACAGGCCCTGTCCTGACGATAAGGCACTGCCTCCCCGCTGGGAGCTCCTGTCCTGTAGGAGAGCTCCCCTGGGCTTTTAGGGAAGAGCTTGACGGCCAGGGCAAGCTCTCCTCCTGCTGTGGCTCAAGTGCCTAAGCAGTTTGTCAGGAGCAAATTTTAGGCTTTCAGGGGTTCAGGTCTCAATGTTGGGGGACACTTGCAAACTGAGTGTAGAGAGCACAGGGACACTTGTGGAGAGAAGAGCATGGGCGTACTCTGCGGGAGCCATGCCCCTGCGGTCCAGGGGAGTAACGGGGGCTCGCTCAGCTCAGCAGGCAGCGTAGGGGGTATGGGGTGAGCCGGGGGAAATTCACGACCCGGGAGGTCGGACGCAGCTGTGCCGGCCACTACCTCAGGACATAGCGACTTACATCCACTTGGTACTGTTGAGAAGCAACTTGAATTACAAACCCAGTGTTCGAAGAGCAGGCGCTGCAGCCTGGGCCTTATGCAGATGCAAAGCCAGGGCTGGTGGCTGACTGTGGGGGAGTGGCGTTGGCAGGCCGGGTTCCCTCCCGTCTTACCCGGCTGAGCAGCCTTACAGAGTTCCGGTCCTTTCTCTCTCGAGGTGCTAATGTGTTTCTGTTTCCTTCCTCTCGAGATGGAAGAGCAGTTGGGCATCGATGTCCTCCAGCCCCAGCTTCCGATGGAGGCGGGCAGTCCACACAGCAGATACGACGACCCGGAACATCTCAGTTCGTTAGCAGAAAGCAGCCTGGACTTAGGTGCGTGGTTTTGTTTCTTAGGAACACAAATTGGTCGCTTTCCATCTTTCTGTTCTGTTCTTTATCTAGTGACTTTTCTGAGGCGTTGCGTCTGTTCTGCTGCACAGCACGCAAAAGAGCAGGTCCGGCTCGAGCGCCAGCTCAGACCTCCATCCGCTCCGCAGGAGTTTCCATTTCCGCTGCCTCCTGCCCCATTTTATTAGCGTGTGGATTAAAACTGAAACCCGTACCTGGCGCTGAAATGCGTCTTCACTAATATACTTTAACGTCTCTGTTGCTCCTAAATGGTGCTGTTAGCTCAGTGCATGGAGCTGTTAAATATTCATAAAGAGACATATTTTAAACATTTATGAGACATTTTACAGCCATACATTACAGTCGATTTTAGTACATTACTGAGTTTCCATCTAAGAATTCTGAAAGTGCTGCGCCTCTCTTGGTCTCCCTCCCATAGCAGCTCTCATGTGCTTTTGAAAACTTGACTTTAAATAGAGTTTTTATCCATTCTGCGCAGACCCGCTGTATGCAGTGCATGCTGCTCACGCCCCAGGTGAGCAAGGGAGCTCCTTCCGCTGTGTAGATCATGGAGCTGGCCTTCAGGGCTCTGCCTGGCCCACCCAGTGACCAGGGGGCTGTGTCCAGGGGCGTGGGGCTGTCCAGATGGCGCTGTGGAGAGCAGTGGGGCAGTGTGCACAGAGGCCAGCAGGTGACGTGAGTGTGCCCGAGTGCCGCTCTCGTCAGCTCCCTGTGGCCTGCACTTGCCCTTAGTGGGATCAGATGGATCTACCCAGCTTTCCAAGCTGAAGAGAGAGAAAAACGGGCCTTTTCGCCCACAGACTCTCCAGTTGCAGTGCTTTAAGTTTACACATTTCTTTAGTTCTCTCTGACCACTAAACCACTGGGGTGATACACGGCACATCTGCTGATGACTGTGACTGTTCTGGTGGGGGCAGTGCCTCCTCCCTGCCTAACCCAGGTGGTGCTGACCCTCTTACGCCCTCAGGAAGGAGTGGAGTGAGGGACTGGTGCACAAGGCAGAGAGTATGTTTGGAGGACCAGGAAATGACACTGTCCACTGTGCGCACAGGGCAACTGCCCCTCCACAAGCCCTGTGATTATCTTCTCTGGCCCCGCACCCCACAGTCTCTCTGCATTCCGCATGTTTCCTGGGACACCCAGCAGCAACACACAGCACAGCCCGCCTACTGCCCTGAGCCAAGCTGGCCCAGCCCAGCCTGTGACGGCAGCTGGGCTGCCTCCCTCGCGTGGCCCACGTTCCCAGCTGGGCTGCCTCCCTCGCGTGGCCCACGTCCCCAGCTGGGGCTGTGCTACCTCAGTGCTGCCTCTGTCCTCACAGGTGGGACACAGCCTCTTCTCCTCGCATCTTCTGCTGTTTCAAGTGACTCCTGTGGACGTGAGGCTCAGTGGAAAACCCAGGACAGTCTCTCCTCAGCTTTTTCAGGGGCCTGCACCCCACAGACCCTTTCCTCAGTGGGGTCACATCTGCAGGTTCTGGAACATGATGTGTTCTTTTAGGGATTCAATCCTGATTGCTGTAGTCATCCCCTTGGGAGGCCTGGGTATTTATTCTTAAGCTATGACTTTGGGAACAGTGCCAGGTGTGCACATCCCAGACCTGTGCTCCCTGGAAAAGCCCTTGTCACTATGCGTGGGGGCATGTCAAGGGCTTGCAGAGCAGCACGTGGGCAGGCAGGAGGGCTGCATCCATGCTGACATGTGGCCAGCAGCTGTTGTGTTCGCTCCACACTGAGCACATTTTCCTTCTGGGAGTGCTGTCCTCAAGCGCAGACCCTGTCCCGTGCCAGCTCCTCCACGCAAGAGGCCTTCCTCCGCCCCATCAGCCCAGGCCCCTGCAGCACCGCCACTGCCCGGGCAGGGATTTTCATGTGTGCTCCTGGCAGCCCCTTGTAGATCTGAGCTGGCTTTCTGCTCCTTAGCAGCGGGCAGTCTTAGATTTGCCACAGCTCACAGAGGAAAGCCTGTGTGCCGAGGGCTCCCCCCCCTCCTGTGGCTCATCTCAGGGATGTGCATCTGGTCCAGGACGAGCATGGTGGGAGAGCGCATGTGGGCCTCAAGAGGAGACCACGACGAAGACCCTAAGTGAGCAGAATGATGCGTTCTTACAGCAGTTGAGCCAAACCTCCTCGGGATTGTGACTCCCAGCAAGGGGCACAATGCCTGCAGCGCAGGGAGGCCTCCCGGGCCGAGTCTAGCCTGCACTGCTGTCGTTTCTATGCATGCCCTGGCCTGAGAGCCAGGGCGCATGCCTGTCACCAGGAAGGCCTGTAGGAGGAGGGTGGCATGTCACTCAGCATGGCTGTCAGCAGACTGGAACTTGCTGCTGATTTTCTTCCTTTGCTGAGTTTTCTGCCTCAGCCGCTCCCTGTGTGGATCCTTCTCTCCCTTCCTTGGTGCCATTCAGCTCTCGCGCCTCAACAAATAGGGAGCTTTGGAACCCATTCCGACCAGCACTGGCTTCTGGAAATCCGGCCCTCTGGGCCCTGTTCTGGCCAGTACCAGCATCACAGGGCCCCGGGGACACGGTGCTCTTTGTGGCTCCCTACATGTACAGAGCCAGGATGGCAGCCGCAAGGACGCTCACCCACTGTGCCTTCCATCATCTCTGCTGCGCCCGGCACCCGGCTTGGGCCCTACTTCTCAGCAGCAGGGTGGCATGCCTGGCAGTGCTGGGACTCTCAGCCTAGTGCGCAAGAGGGCAGCATAGGGGCAGGAGGGCGCCCCCTCCCCCAGTGCTCCCTGAGACGCCGTCGTCCCAGCTGCCTCTGCCTTATCACCAGGCCCTGACTCCCAGACTGCAGGACCAGGCCCAGGAAGAAGTGGCAGCGAGTTCAGCAGAAAACTTGTTCAGGACGAAGAAATGGAAAGAGTTTCAGTGATGTTTACAGAAGAAGTTTGTTTTTTTATTTGTTTGGGTTTTTTAAAATAATTTTATTGAGAAACAAATAGCAGTGAGACAGTTTCAAAACCGATTAGTGGGACAGTTTCAATAATTAATACATTGCATATTGTTGTCTTCTGAGTGGTACAGAAGAAGCTTGGAAAGAGCATCTGAATGCCCTGGTCAGAGGTCGTTTTGGGTTTCCTCCTAAGTGTCCTACAGGGGTGTGCACTTAGGGAAGCCCTGGGGGCCGAGTCCACGCACACACACGACAAAGGCAGGTGCGCCGGGTGCAGTGGGCCGCAGGCTGTGCTCTGCAGGCGACAGGTGCACCACGCGCTCCAGACTGCCCTGGTTTTTCTTTCTTTCCCTCTTCTTTAGTAAATGGGCAAATGACATAGTTGTCACTTGATGAGTTTTCCTCTTCCAGGAAATTGAGGATTTTCAATACAAGGGCCACGGAAAATAAGCAGTGTTCACATTTTCCGTAAGTCTATTAGTGTAAGAGACACATTGCCATTTACCTGTTATGGCTGTTTCCCAAGGTGAGAATGGCCATGAGAGGGAAAGGTACTAAATGGGTTCAGGGCGCCCAGGCAGCTCGACCCTCGGGAGGGAGGGTGCCAGAGCAGCCGCAGGGGTGGCCAGGATGTGGGACGGGTGGCAGAGCTGGGAGGGTTCTGAGTGCTTCCTGGCCTTTTGCTGTAGTGTTTTTATTTTTAATTGAAAGATCTCCATAGTTTTCCACCACGCCCTGAGTGTGGGGTGGCAGAGCTAGAAACCAGAGCCCTGGGAGTGCAGATTAAAGACCCCGCCGTCACATGGAGGCCGTGCCGTCATGCAGAGGCCGCACCGTCACACGGAGCCCACGCCATCACGCGGAGCCCGCGCCGTCACACGGAGCCCACACCATCACGCGGAGCCCGCGCCGTCACATGAAGCACATCCCAGGAAAGAAGCCGGAAGCTGTGTGGTGGGGGCTGCTACCAGCCCCGTGTGAGGTGGGGACACCACAGTGTAGTTTTCTGCCAGAGCCTTAATGACGTTATTCTGCTGTTTTTGAGACAGGGTCTCACCATGTAGTTCAGGCTCACTTTGAACTCACTATGTAGCCCAGGCTGGCCTCAAGCTTGAAGCGATCCTCCTGCCTTGGCCTCCTGGTGCAGGATTACAGGTGTGTGCCCTACACCCAGCTCATTACATGTAACATAGCACGTAAAACTGTCAGTGAGAGCAGGCCTCGTAAAGTCTTTCTTTTCTGGGCTCTGCCTGATCCCCCTCAAAGCTCCATGACCGGGCTTCAGTCCTCTGTGCAGCACAGAGCCACGCACTCCCTGTGTAGCAAACAAGTCCTTGTAAAGCTGCTCCTCCTCCTCCGATTGCAAATCCTCCCGCCACACCCACAGCGTCCTGCACACCAGGCTCCAGCCCCGTTCCCTTCTGTGGCTTCCCTGGAACCAGCCCAGCATGGGAGCTTGATGGCCCTGGACACCTGCTGCCACCAGCCCCTGGAAAGTACCTGGCCAGCAGGGGGTGCTCTGTGCATGTTTGTTGAGTGATTTCAAAGCGTGAATGAATGATACCTCCATTCATGTTGGATAAACTGAAAGGTGTTTTTGTGGGTTTGGCATCTTCCCCGACCGCTGTGGAGTTAATTCTGCACACGTTGTTGGAAAGAAATGGGAGAAAACGCATGAGAACTTTTTATCTTGGGCGTATTTTCTAGCTTAAATTCTGTCAGAAATTTTTAAAAATCCACAGGAAGTATGCAAACTAAATAACATTCTACAACCTCGATAAGTATATGCATTTTGCTTATCATTTCAGTAAAAACTATGTTATTTACCAGTACGAGCCCAGCATAACAGTATTTTATCTTCTTTCTTATACTTGAGCTTCCGGCTAATACTCTACTCACATAATTTATGATAGCATTTTTTTTTCTTCCAAGAACACAATTTTTAAAGAAGTAAATGGCAGAAAAGATGTTTTGTTTTGACTCAGCAGGGCCCAGGCTGGGCGTGAGGCCATCCTCACTGTTTTCTGGAAGAGTATGGAGAACAGCACATAGATCGTTGGGTTTCTGTAAGCTTTCTCAGTGTCTTGCTGTCTTAGTTACTTTTCATAGCAGAGACCACTGCCTGGCACCCACAGACAAAAGAAGGGGAGGTTTATTTAGCTTATAGAGTTTTTTTGTTTGTTTTTTAGGGAAGGATCTACAGGGTATTCAGAGTCTTACTACTAGATCAGACTTGTAGTGATCCGCCTGTTTGCAGTCTCCCAAGAGCTGGGATTACAGGCGTGTACCACCACGCCCAGTCTCAATTGCCGTCTCAGCGCGCCCCGGGGCAGGGCCAGCATGGCAGGCCAAGGGATCCAGCCATCGGCCCCTAGGCCTGCTTGCAGGTGCTTTAATCTGCTAAGCTATTTAGCCCTCCTTTTAGCTTACAGTTGGTAGAGGATTCAGTCCAGTCAGCTGGCTCCAAGGCAGGGTGGCATGGCACAGGGGCATCGCAGAGGGTAGGCAGCTCAGGGCAGGCGGACAGGAAGCAGAGAGATCGGGGAGGAGGAGGAGGGATGCCTCCCACCCCCTTCCAGGCCACCCACCTCCAGCCAGGCCCCCCCGCCAACATCACCTTGAGCTGTGAGCTCCTCAGGGACTACTCCAGAGATGCGTGTCACCCACGATCCACTCACTTCCCCACATCTGCACCTATGAGTGCAGGAGGCTTTGGGGCACTCTAGATATGAACCCTGATACTTCTACAACAGTACAGATGGATTTTAAGGGTTTCCCTTTGTCTTCTTTGAATAAACAGAGCTATTATAGCCACTGAGTTAATATAATAAATGGCATTCCCAGTCACTGCCCAGGGTTACACAAAGTGCACCGGTTCTTGGCGTGGATGGTGTGACATAAATACCCAGCATCTATTCTAATAACCACATTAGCTCTGAGCTGCTTTTTTAAAATTTTATTTTATTAATATGTTTTTATGTATTAAACATGTACATGAAGTTTACATTCACCTTAGGCAGCGGATACATGTACTTCTGATTTGTTTTCTATTGAAGAAAACAATATAATTTTTTACTTTGAAACTCATTTTGATTTATTGACGAGGTACTGCATTCATTGTATGTGGGTGTGTGTGGTCGAAACACAGGTGTGTGTGCACATGTCCACATGTGTGCTTGTGGCATGTGGGTGGCGGCAGTGACCCATGATGGTGGCCTAGGGGCTTCCTGGTATTTATTTGGTTCAGAGGTAAGGAGGAAGCCGAGGCGTCGCTGCCTCCTATCAACAGGAGGAAGACTCTCCGCTGTCTGCCTGGCGGGGAGCTGAGAGGCAGCGAAGCCCAGAGCTCTTCCTCTTCCCCGCTGGGCAGCGCAGGCTTAGTGCTGCAGCTTCCTGTAGAGAAATAAAAATTCACAACACTTTGGCATAAAAATTGTGTAAACATTTAAATAAATTACAAGTCTGCTACCTTACTCGCCTGCTAAGAGTTGGCAAAATTCCCTAACCCAGACGCCGCCGGTGGCATCTTTGCTTTCTTCCTCGTTGATGTGGCTGGTGGTCGAGGTGGCAGAGGCAGTGGAACGCGGAACTTCGTGGACAGCGCTCAGCGACCCCAGCGCCTGCGGGCTTATCTGTTGTCCCCTGGAGGATTTCTTCGACCCTTGATGGGGTGGCCTGAGACTGGTTCAGGGAGGCTGCGGAAGGGAACACGGCAGCAAGCTAGCGCCGACCGGGGGTTCTCTGCCTGATGGGGTCCCCGAGGTGTTCCGCGGCACCCGGCGGGGTCCCCGAGGTGTTCCGCGGCGCCCGGTGGGGTCCCCGAGGTGTTCCGCGGCACCCGGCGGGGTCCCCGAGGTGTTCCGCGGCGCCCGGCGGGGGTCCCCCTTAACCCTGCGTCCCCGCAGGGCGCCGCCCACCCCTACGGGCGCACCGTGCTGTGCTGTGTCTCACGGTCTGCGCTTGTCTGCAGGTGTGCCGGCTCCAGACCACGACCTAGGCCCGAGCCCACCTCCGGACCTTCCCTCCGGGCCTCGGAGGCGGGACCGCGAGCTGCCTCCGTACCAGCCGCCCAGGCCCCGAGCGGCAGCGAGGCCCCCGGGCGCCTGGTCCTCCAGACACCCCGCCCTTGCCCGGTAGGCTGCCCCTGCCGTCCTCCCGCTGGGATGGGGTGCGGGCCCTGCAGCGCCACGCGGAATAGCCACGGAGTGGCTGCGGGAGGTGGGAGGGCAGCGCCAGTCATCCGGCCGCCTGGCAGCGGTCCCCGGAGCGCTGGGCGGGGACGCCGTGCGACCCGAGTGGGAAGAAGTGGGAGGGCCCTCTGCGCTCTCAGTGCGGGGGGCTGGTGAACAGCGGGAAGGGGCACTGACGTGGGCGTGAGGGAGCTGACCAGGCATCGGGGGTCACCGCGAGGGTGAGGGCGCCACAGCACTGCAGAGCCCAGGGATGCACGCCCGGGTTCTGCTGAGGCCTGGCAGGGGCTGGTGCACACACAATGCCACCACAGGTGGCAGAGCCCAGAGCCCGAGGGAAGGCTGGCTGCGCCAGGGCGCCAGGCAGGACTGTTTTCCTAGCTGGGCAGGCAGCTTCGAGTACTAAGACACATACTTCCCACACGAACAGAGAAACTAAAGTGAAATTGTGCAAAGCAAACGCTTAGAAAAATCACTTGTGGATTACACCGGTATGCATTGGTAGCCGTTGTGTGGCCTAGACACTAAGGAATGCGTGGCTGTCCGTGCTGGGTTAGGATTTGCCGTGTTGAATGCTAGCAAAGTCTGTTCACTTTTTGTGTTTATTCATGCCAATATTTCAGAAGCTTAGAACTGTGTAGTACTGAAAGTTGTGCAGTTTCAGATCTTTCCCAGCCCCCACAAGGAGGGTAGCCAGGTGTGGTAGCCTGTGATCCCAGCACTCAGGAGGCTGAGGCAGGAGGATCTCAGTGAGTTCGAGGCCAGCCTGGGCTACATAGTGACATCTCCTCTCAAAAAAAAAAAAAAGAAAGAAAGAAAGAAAAAGAATGAGACTGTGTCTCCTCAGCTGTTCTCTCTTCTGTCTCCCCCAGAGAATTGCCTGAGAGAGAAGAAGGTGAAGGAGAAGAGACGCCGAGCTTCAGCCACTGGGGTCCCCCAAGGATGTACGTGGTGACGTCACTGGTCTCCTCAGCTGACAGGGTGTTAGCCTTGCACACTCGGCTTTTTACTGCACTTTGAGGTTTTATTTCTGCTGGCCACCTTTGCAGTTGTGGGCTTCCTGGCAGTGGGCACCCGACACACTTCAGTCCTTCCTGTGGCCTCATCCTTAGGCTCCTCCCCAGACGGGGGAGGCAGGCCCAGCTCCTGTTACCCATTTTATTTTGCGCTTCGTTTATGCTTCAGGCTTTTCTTATAGAGAAGCCACACAGTGCTGAGCTCGCTCGGCCTTTTTCCCGCCGTGCTTCCCTCTTCCTTGCCCTGGTGATTGGCATTGTAGCTGTTCATCCGCTCGCCACAGCGTCCAGTTTGGTCTCACTCTGTTGTCTCATCCAGAGGTTGGGGGCCAAGGAAAGGCTCCCATAATCGATGTCAACGTGGGCTCCGAACCACTCGGAGCCACTGCGGGCCCATGTGGGCAGGCGTGGTAGGCTAAGCATATGCTGTCAGCGTGGCCCCCTCTGTCACACCCAGACACCCCAGCTTGCAGCCTCTAGACAGCACCTTGGGGTGCTCAGAGCGCTGGCCAGGCTTCCCCTTTAACTTCTCTCCTGTTCTGTACCTTAGTGACCCCATGCCCACCCAGTGCACTGGGGTTCTTCCTGTGGTTGGATTCTGAGTTTTGTCTTCAAAGTTCCGAGTTGCCGTTTCTGGCTCCCAACCTCGTTTCCCTTCCTGACGGGCCAGGTTGCGTCAGTTTCTGCGAGTCCCATAATACTTGTGGGGCAGGTCTCCCTGCTTCTTTTTAAAATGACAGATAAGAGGCCACTCTCCAGCTGTGAGCGCGGGAACCAGCAGAGAGCCCAGAGAGCCGGGCCTGTGGCCAGTTTATTTTACTCTGAAAGCCAGAACACGTTACTAAAATAAATATGTGGCTTTCTTGGTTCTTCTTACCCATTTGGTACTCCTCAACCTTTTCCTTTTTGATGCGCGTATAAAGGAGACAAACGCAGAGCGCAGGTTGAGACTTGGTCAGAAACTCAGGCCCCCGGCCCTCTCGGAATCCCTCTTAGAATCTGTTCTAGAATGCAAACTTTCATGTGGCATCAGTTGTTGACAGCATCTTGTAATTTCAGCACTAGGTATAAGATATACAACATTTGTAAACAAATATATTTAGAAAATGGACTTTTATGAAATGAGTCTTAAAAGTATGGCATGCACGGAATATACCTACCATGACAGCACTACAGGCTGGATCTCGCTGTCCTCAAGTGAGTTTCGCTTGTCTTTTGCAGCGTGGAGATTTTCAGAGAACCCGGCGTGTCTCTGGGCATCAGCATCGTCGGTGGACAGACAGTCATCAAGCGCCTGAAGAATGGCGAGGAGCTGAGGGGCATATTCATCAAGCAGGTCCTGGGGGACAGCCCAGCCGGGAGGGCCAGCGCGCTGAAGACCGGAGACAAGATCCTTGAGGTAGTGATGCTGAAATGCTGTTAGTGTCTGAAACTTTCTCATTTTTTGAGATAAGATCTCACTATGTAGTCTAACCTGGCTGTAGACTCAATGTGTAGCCTGGCTGGCCTCTGACTCATGGGGATTCTCCTGCCTCACCCTCCTAAGCAGTGGGGTTACAGGCAGGTGCCATCATATCCCACATGTCTGAAATGTTTTTAAGGCAGTAAAATGATCATTTGTTCAGAAGACCTTTCTTCACATGGTGCTGTGTGTGTAGGTGTGTCCCTTCTCTATGCAGCAGTTTGTGCACAATTTGTGAGTCTTTCCAGTGCAGGGAAGAAGCAAATGAAAAGATGAAATACAGCCCCTGGGCTGAGAGAGACAAACACAAAGGGCGCTCTGTGGCCTGCGCAGGTGGGGACAAGCCCCGCCCTCTCCAGTGTACACCAGTGTCCTGGGACCCTGCAGCCCCAAGAAGGAAGGACCATGGGGAGCCCGGAGCCCCAGAGTGGGCTTGCGGCAGCTGAGAACGCCCTGGAGCCTGGGCAGGAAGTGCCTTTGTGCCTGTAACTGATACTGCGCTGGAGCCTTGACCCAACCCCCTTGCTCTGACTCATGTTTTGGACACTCGTCCTGGCCTGCTGCTTCGGTCAGCGACCAGGAAGCAGCTCCGGAGGTCGAGTTGGAATCTGCACTCAGACTCTTTTGGTTTGAGTTTGTTCAGGACAAACATCAGGCTTACCTTCCTCAAAAAGAGGAAGCGGGGTTTCCAGGCCGGAAGCGTCATTGCAAGCCCCAAGGGCCACACGAACATGCGGGCTGCAGGCCTGGGTTAGAGGTCAGGACTCCTTCTCTGAAGGACACCAGCCATGCTTCCAGGTCTGGAGTTCTCAGGTTTGGAGAGTCCAGCCTCACCCTGAACCTGCACGTTGTCTCCGCCTCACCCTGTGCGCCGCACTCCAAAGCTTCAGGTTTTGGCTTTTCTGTTGAGGGCTGCTTTGAACACACCAGCGATGCAGCAGCGAAGAAAAGGACCAAGGCTCCTTCCTCCGGGGTTGCGTGGCGTCGTGTATGGGGAGAGACGAGAGAAAAACTGAGAGGTCAAGCCGTGGTGAGCACAGGCAGACACACAGCACGGGGCGAGGGCTGATGGGGCCACACCGAGGCAGTGATTGCTGCTTTAAAAAAATGAAGCAACTTATGACACAGTAGGCTTCTCCAAAGCGGCATTAAAGTAGACATTAAAGGGCCCAGCGAGGAATGAGTCTGACGCAAAGGAACAGAAAGCAGGTCTCAAACTGCGTCAGCACACCACCCTTTGTTTTTGGAAGGCCCACGTGAAAAGCCTGTGTGATAGTCCATGAATTAGTCTAACAGTGCAAGGCGTCCAGCTGAAAAGAGACAAATGGTAGCCAGCCATGGCCCCGACGCCCACAGGCCCCTTGGGTGGTCCCAAGGCGAGGACACACCCACGCATAGGGGACACCTGTGGCAGAAATGCAAGGCAGCGTCTCACTAGCAGCTCAGGTTGGCTTTGAGCTCACTGGGTAGCCCAGGCTGGTCTCAAACTCGCAGCGATCCTCCTGCCTCAGCCCCCTGAGTGCTGGGGTGACAGGCATGTGCCACCACATCCAGCTGTTGTCCTTCATTTGTTTCTATTATCAACTTAATGAACAATATTCTCACACTTATCATCACTAGCTTTATGTTTAGTGGCAAGAACCCCGAGTTTTCCCTCAGATTTAAGCACTTGGCTTAAAACTCACAGTGCACTTGAAAGCTTACACTTAATCATTTGCTTTTTTCCTATGAAAATTATTATGAAGGGTTTCTTTGGCTTTAGTAATCAGCTGTGTCTGTATTTTATATGATGTGTCTTTGGGGCTGGGGAGATAGCTTGGCTGTCTGAGTGCCTGTCTGGCAAGTGCAAGGACCTGGGTTTGATCCCCCAGGACCGCATGCTGTGCCGGCCCTGGAACCCCAGGCGCACTGAGATGGCCACCAGATCTGGGTGTGGTGGTGCACACCTGTAATCCCAGCACTGGGGAGGCTGAGACAGGAGGATCACTACGAATCTGAACTGTGTAGTAAGACCCTATACCAAATAAATAAATAAATAATTTTTCTAAAGATGTGCTTTAAAGCAATAACATGAATGTTTTAGATCCATAAGAAAAATGTTTTAATACAAGAAGTTAGAATTTAGTTTCTCGCAAATGAATCTGTGTGAAGAGATGAATTTTTGAGTTGTAATTCTCAAGTTGAGGAAAATCTAAGATTATTGTTGTACTATGATAGAATCCTTTTTTTTTTTTTTCCTTCAGTGGTTCCCATTATGCCTGTGGAAATCTGTCAGGGACACCCTCTGTCCCTGCTCCCTGTCCCCGGAAAGCAAGGCAGCACCACAGCCTGTCCCCACCCCGACATTGGTCTGGACTTGGCTTAGTGGGCCCAGTAGCCCAGCGGCCTGCGGCTTCGGCTTGTTTGCACACACAGCTGCCTTATAGCCGCGTGGGTGTGCTAGCAGGGAGGTTCTCCACATTTCTCTAGGAAGGAGTCTTGTGGGCAGGAACAAGTATGGAACAAAGAACCCTTTCAGCGAGGCCCTGGGAACTGGGTTTTTCACAGTTTGGGAAACGGTCCGTCTCTCAGTGGGGATAAGTCGATCTGTTTGAAAGACTCCTCTCAGCTCAGTAGACAGTAGAAGTCACAAGGGAGTCCCCGTCCCACCGCACTTAGGTCATGTGGGCTCTGTCACACACACACACACACACACACACACACACACACACACACACACACAGCACACCCTTGCACGGCGGCCTCCAGTGGAGCTTGCGTTACAAGCTGCCAGCGTGCGCGCAGGCCCAGCCCGAGCTGCTGCTGCCGCCGCTGCCGCTGCTGCGCTCCCTTGACTTCTCCTCACGGCGCCCGGCGCTCCTCCCTGCGTGCGCGGCCCTTCTGAGGCAGCCTCACTCTTCTGGCCGTCGGCGCCTCGCGAGCCCCGAGACCTCTGGCCAGCCGCCCCGAATGACTTGGTCCTGTTTCAGGTGTCTGGTGTGGACCTGCAGAATGCCACTCACCAGGAGGCCGTGGAGGCCATCAAGAAGGCGGGGAACCCTGTGGTGTTCGTTGTTCAGAGCCTCTCCTCCACACCGAGAGTAAGTTGGTTTTCATCTTCAAAACATTTCCTGCTATTCTGTGCTCTTATAGGTAAAGCTTTGCCTCCGAATAGTTTCCCACCTACTCTTATGGGTGTGATTTGGTCTGGTTTGGTTTGGTTTGGTGCAGGTTCTCACCCCACCTATTTTTATCTTAAGTCACAAGTCACATGACATGCACAAGTACAGCTCTGAGCTTTGGAGGGTTCATTCCTCGGGCAGCTGGCTCTGGAGTAGGAAGAGGCTGCAAAAGAGCCCGAGCGGGGGCAGGACACACCCTTCACACGCACACTGAGTGACACCTTCCTCCTGCCGTGCCCCAAGGGTCAGTCCCTCAATACACAAGTCATCTGGGACACTTGATATTTACACCAGAAGACTTAGAGAAAATATCTGCTTAACTTCAGGCAAATTTAGACATTAACTTTAAGTTCCATTTGCCCCCAGCTTTAATCTCCTGGTCAAATTTGATTCATTGCAGTCTGTGTTGGTTTAAGTCACGGGCAGTAAAGTCAACGGCTGGTCTAACACCTCGATCCCCTAGTCGCCATCTTGCTTAGTTGGAGGCGAGTCCGTCATCTGTTCTGGGCCAATTGCCTTGTTTAGGAAATGCTATGAGCATACAACATTCTAGAGGCACGATCCAGTGTTCTAGATACTTATTTATTCAGTCTTTTTGAGACACTTTGTAGCCTCACTTTGTAGCCCAGGCTGGTTTCAGACTTCCAGCAATCCTCCTGCCTCAGCCTCCTGAGTGCTGAGATTCAGGCATGCACTCCCATGCCTGGATGCCCTGTCTTTTAAACTTGTTTAGGCACAGAGGCTGGGGAGATAGCTTGGTGGTCTAAGCACCTGCCTGGCAAGCTCAAGGACCCAGGTTCAATCCCCGCTACCACATGCTGTACTGGCCCTGGGCGCCAAGCCGGGTGCAAGCCTGTAATGCCAGCACTGGGGAGGCTGACGCAGGAGGATCACTATCACTTTGAGCTGCACGGTGAGATCCTGAACCAAATAAATAATTTAAACTTGTTTAGGCACAGAGCGGTTCCTACTGAAGAAGGTGGTGAACTGGCGTCTCTCTGGCATGACTACTTGGGCAGTCACAGATCGCCCAGGGGTAGGAAGCGCTGGCAGCGCCTCAGTCAGATTTCATTTTCTTTTTGAGGTAAACGGCTGTCCCGGTGTTTCCTGGTGACTGCACACTGCTGGGCTCAGGGCTCCTCCTGCCTCATCTCTGGTACGTGGGCCTCCAGCCATTCAACCAGATCCCATTTTTAAACTTTCCTAAAAACGCGAAGTGGGTCACTTTTAAGTGTTGAGCCCACAAAAGGCCTGCTCTCTGGGGTCTCCTAGCTGCCCCCCCAAAGCCACATGCAGTCACAGGGTGGGCTTCTGGAGTTCCTGTGATCCAGAGCTGGGATTCTGGGTGAGTGCTGAGCCCACCTGCCAGGGGCTGGCAGCCTGCGTGCAGTGTAAGGACGGGAAGCGCCTTGCGCTCTGCCACTGCTCCTCCCTGTGCTCCTCCCTGTGCTCCTCCCTGAGCTCTCCACCACTGCTCCTCCCTGTGCTCCCCCTTGTGCTGTCTGCCACTGCTCCTCCCTGTGCTCCTCCTTGTGCTCTCCACCACTGCTCCTCCCTGTGCTCCTCCCTGAGCTCTCCGCCACTGCTCCTCCCTGTGCTCCTCCCTGAGCTCTCTGCCCCTGTTCCTCCCTGTGCTCCTCCCTGTGCTCCTCCCTGAGCTCCTCCCTGTGCTCCTCCCTGAGCTCTCTGCCACTGCTCCTCCCTGTGCTCCTCCCTGAGCTCTCTGCCACTGCTCCTCCGTGCTCCTCCTTGTGCTCCTTCCTGTGCTCCCCCTTATGCTCTCTGCCCCTGTTCCTCCCTGTGCTCCTCCCTGTGCTCCTCCCT